ATTTGATAGTGTGTGGTATGCCAGATAGCCCTCGACTTATAAGCATTCATTTAGTGACTGTTTAAAGTTACAACACTGAAAAAAGTGGCTTATGACTAGTTTTCACAACACCATTGCAGCATCCCCATGGTCATCTGATCAAAATTAGGGTGCTTGGCAACTGGCATGTGTTTATGACAGTTGCACTGTCCCAGAGTCATGCGATCAGCATTTGTAACCTTCCCAGCCAGCTTTTGACAAGGAAAACCAAGGAGGGAAGCCAGATTCACTTAACTGTGGCAAAGTTGAAGACTACCTGTATTGAATTATGGGAAAGCAGTGACATAACAGTATTTCACGTTTTGACCAACCCTAACCACAATCATGGGAGGTTTGCAACAAATCGATCAGTTGCGATGACAAAGTTTGAGAATTCCTCCACCAGGCTGAACTACTTGCTCATTTGTAGTTCAGCCTGTGAGCTAAGCAAGATCAAGGGAGGTACTAATATCACTCTATAAAGCCTTAGTAAGACCACACCTAGAGTACTGCATCCAGTTTTGTTCACCACATTATAAAAAAGATGTTGAGACTAGAAAAAGTGCAGAAAAGAGCAACCAGGATGATTAGGGGACTGGAGATTAAAACATATGAAGAATGGTTACAGGAACTGGGCATGGCTAGTCTAGTAAAGAGAAGGACCCGGGGAGACATGATAGCGGTCTTCCAATATTTGAGGGGCTGCCACAAAGAGGAAGGGGTCAAGCTATTTTCTAAAGTGCCTATAGGCCAAACAAGAAATAATGGATGGAAACTGAACAAGGAGAGATTTAACCTGGAAATAAGGAAAAACCTTCTGACAGTGAGAACAATCAACCAATGGAACACCCTGCGCTCAGAAGTTGTGGGAGCGCCATCACTTGAGACCTTCAAGAAGAGATTGGACTCCCATCTGTCAGAAATGATGTAGGGTCTCCAGCTTGGGCGGGGGGGTTGGACTAGAAGACCCACAGGGTCCCTTCCAACTCTGATTATCTGTTATCTGCTAGGGGAAAGGCACCCAGAGCACATTGTTTGATCCACAATAACAGTCTGGCCAACTGCTTTTGGCTCATGGCCTGATGCGCTCATAACCACAGTGTGAGATGATGTAGAACAAA